AAAGCATCTTCTACCCATGGCATCTGCAGAATGTGCTGTCATCAGAGCAGTGTTCATCACCTGCCTGGGACACAGAGAGCAGAGCAAACACGGTGCTGCTTAACAGAACTCCTGGAGAGGAGCTGGGAGCTCTGCTGGTGATGCCTGTGTTTATCCATCCACACTTCTGAGGGACAGTTTTCTTGGAGGTTTAAGAAAATTGTACTCAAGAATATTCTTCTTTGATATTTTGCAGAGTAATGTATTCTGCCAGACAAAGACCTTTTTACTTATCTTTCTGTACATCAAAGTGTGATTTCCCCTTGAAATCCGGGGAGCTGACAACTGTACAACAGCAGCAGGGATCTGGGTTCACACAGTAAGCAGTGTTTCATTATGCTGCTTTATTTGGATGGGCAACTGTGAGAAATAGCTTATGATGTATAAAATATCTGAGTCTCTTTTTGTACTTTAAGACATTGTTATCTCTATTTGAAGTTGGCTAGTGAAGGTCAGTCAGGCTAACTGCTTGCAAAAGAATATCCTGTCTCTGTTGGTAGATACTCTTTTCAAAGTTCATTGCGTCCAGCAAGCTATTTTTGTAAATACCACCCATCATGGCAAATTACATACTGTTAGTGGGAGGGGAAAGGCAATGGTGCTGAAGTTCTTTTCATTTAAAAAAAAAATCAATTGTTGTTGTAAAGAGCATTGCATAGCCACGATGAAAAGCGTAAGAAGTTAATTTGTTTCAGATTTAGTGTTGATGAGGAATGTCAAATTGCACTGCGGAAGTGATGCATTCTGTGATAACTGTAATACTGAAACTTTCACTCACTGATAACCATGGCACTGATAGATTGTGATATTTTCATGACATTTCCTTTGCTTTACTTTGAAGTCTAGTTGGTTAAGTCAGGAAGTCTTTCTGTATTAGCAACACTGAAGTTACAGTGTTGTTTCTTCACCTCTTTATTTTTTTTTATATTTGTTGTTCAGAGATTAGGGAATGCTGGCAGTGTAGGAGAGTGCTAATACTGGCAAGCAGTCACTTCTCCAACCTATCACATTTTGAAATGAAACCCATTTAAAAATGGGGGTTTTTTACTAACTGACATTTTTTAAAGAATCAGTAACTTCTTTGTGCTCTGCTTATTAAAAATAAGTCTGTCTTTCAGTGGTGTGTTGGGTTTAGTTTTATTCTGTGGGGTCTACTCAAACACCATACTTTACTACATAAACTGATGGTCCTCAGAAACATTTACCAACATGAGCAATCCTTGGTAATTGTGCTTGATCTTGTGAAGAAAATTCCTGGTGTATGCTGGACTTGCAGAATTGGTTTCTCAAGAGACCCTGTTGATTTTGGGAGCTGATGCATTGGCTGCACAGGAGAGGCATTCACATGTAGATGCAAGTGGGATGCAGCACTGGCCCAGAGAGAGCCACAGTCCTGTAACTCCCCCTTTTTACATTAAATGGTTTTCTGACTGATTTTTATCTCCACAAACACTCATTTCTAGGTTATTATTACCTACCTTGGATGTTCTGAATAGCAGTCATTGGCTTCCTGCAGTGCAACTAAACCTGATCACAGTGTTGCATCTTCAATGTTTATATTTAAATCACTACTTCTAATGTATCTTACAATATAAGATACACAGTATAATATACGTATAATATGCATATAACATAATACAATGTGCAATTAATATAATATGCTAAAATCTAAGATGCGATATAACTAAGATCTTACATACAATTTAAGTAACTTCTTGGATATGCTGGTACCTTTTTGCTCAGTGTTGCAGCTTCAATGTTTATATTTAAATCACTAGTTCTAATGTATCTTATAATATAAGATACATAGTGTAATATACATTATATTAATATACATATAATATACTAAAATATAAGATACATCATAACTAAGATCTTACATACAATTTAAGTAACTTTTTGCATATGCTGGTTCCTTTTTGCTCAGTGTTGCATCTTCAATGTTTATATTTAAATCACTAGTTATAATGTATCTTATAAGATACATAGTATAATATACATAATGTATAATATTCATATACATATAATATAGTATACTAAAATATAAGATACATTATAAATAAGATTTTATATATAATTTAAGCAACTTTTTGGATATGCTGGTACCTTTTTGCTCAGTTTTTCTATAGCTTAGACTTACCTGTGTGAAAAGGAAAGCTACTTAAAACTTCATAATTTATTTTACATCAGTGAAGATTAATGATTAATTTAAAGGTAATCCTGTTGAACTCATTGGCAGCATTTATCCTTGTTCCACCAGATTGCAGCTACTTTAAAACCACAGCTCAAAGCAAAATACTTTGATTTCAATGCAACCACCAGTGGAATGATGAAGGAGATGCAAAAATATCTACCTCTAAGCTGTTGCTTTAAAAGGTTATCTAAAAATATCTGCATAAACCAGCTAAAAGGTTTTACCAGATGATAATCAGTAATTATTATGGAAACATCTGATTTGGAAAAACCCACGACACATCTCACATTAAAAAAAAAAAAAAAAAAGGTAGAAAAATCTGAGCAGTAATATTTCCATCAGTGCAGTGTTTCATGTATCAGGGAAAGTGGGTCCTCAGTCAGCGAATACAGCTAAGTCTGTTTTGTGCTGTGGCAAATCCCATTGTGAAGAGGCTGTGAGTAATCAGAAGTGACAGCATAAGCACTTTCTGTTCAAAGTGATTTTACAGGAAGCATTATTTTCTGAGAAAAGTACACATATGGCTCCCATAATGCTGAAAGAGCACTGCTGCATCCATTTATTAGCACTAGTGTTGGGAGAGAAAGTTTTGCAAATGGTGTTCAGATTTAAGACCTTTTCCTCTTTATGCATTTCCATTGCATAAAACATCCTTAAAATCATAGGAATCAGACAGAAAAGCAAGGGCAAGGCAGGAGGGTCTGCCAAGGGGATATTAGGACAATTTGTGAAGATGAGGATGCTGATGCTCAGGGGTCACTCAAGGAGTCAAACAGCAGCAAAAATGCTTTTTTTTGCTGGAAGAGCCAATGGGCCAAGAGCAGCTGTAATCTCCAGTTCACAGGGTGAGCCAGACCCTTGGAAAAACCTGGAGAGAGGGGTTTGCACTCATCCCAAGCACTGCATGAAACCCATGAATGCATTTTGATGAAGGTGCCTCAGACCTCTCTGCTCCTTCTCCCTCAGGCCCGGTTCTTGCCCTAAGCTGCTGTTCCTGTAACAGGGCTCCCCTCCTTGGCACACCCCCTGTCCTGTCCTGTCCTGTCCTGTCCTGTCCCCTACTCTGAGCCAGCCAATAGTGCTGGGACTGCAATGAAAACCCAAGGTTTGCTCTTAGAAATTATCAATTTAAAGGATGAGTTTGCCCCCTGTAGTGGATAGTTGTATCTAAAGGGGTTTATTTTTATTGTGCTTGGGGTTTGGTTTGGTTTTATTGCTTACCTTGGCTGTACAGTTTGTGGCTGTAACAAATATGATCCCTTTGTGAGGCATGTGCAGGTTTGGCCAGGGCCTTTCAATTTGAGTTAACACACATATATAGTTAAGTTCTAGTATTCTGATTTCTGTAAATTGCTTACCAGTTTTGCACATTTGCAAAACTGCCCACAGGAACTACTGAGAACTTCACTTCCCAAAGCCTGAAGCCTCTTAACTTTTCAGGGAAAGCAAAGGTCCCAGTGCTCACACTTGTAGAGCTTGCTAGTTAAAAACCAAAATGCCAACAGCAACATAAGTGTGATTTTTAAAAAAAGTCCTCATGACAGTTATGTCAAACTTGATAGCTCAATATTTGGGATTGGCACTAGGGTTTTATGTATCTATCAAAAAAATGAATCATTTGAAAGCTGTTTGCTTTGGAAGTTAGCTCTGTGTTTGCAAATACGGTGTCTTCATTTTTCTGAGTTACTGTAATTTGCTGCCTCTCTTAGATGCTCCACAACCAAGAAGCCTGAATAAGTCTGTTTCCTTCCATAGTGATTTGTTTTGGAAGAGATGGTTGAAGGAGTTGGAGGGTAGCAAAGGAAATTCAGCTCTCTCCCTTTTTCATGAATATTAAGGCAGACAATCCCAATTCCAAAATTTCATTGCAGGCCTCGATCACAAATGAAATGTTTCAAATACTTCTACTGCTTCCAGTAACCTCCTTCTCATCATCTCATAAAATTACCCCCAAGGAGAGTGAAGCTTAAATACTGATGGGTCTGAGTATGTCACCAGTTATCTACTAAAGTGGAGACAATATTGTTTGTATTCAAGCATGAATTCCAATGACATTTAACAGAGTTAATTTTATCTTTATTTGGTATTACGAATTTTGCCTCATTCTGTTCACTCTGTTGCTTTCTTTGAAATGCCTCTCAGATTTCACTGGCACTGGACCATCCTTGGTGATTGCTGCCACATGCCTGTCTAGCATGAAAACATCTTTATTACTTCAGAAAGTCTATCTTTAACGGCTTGGAGATATTTGCATCTGGCTTGGAATCCTGACAAGCAATAGTCATATTGAGAGAGCTGTTTGTTTGGTTTTCATGAGCAAAAGCTACAGCTTGCATTCAAGGAACTGCTTGAACTTAACAGCACAGCAAATGACTTGTGCTGCTCAGATCCCTGGGTGCTTTAATGGGAGTGGGGGAACATTTCTGGCCATGGAAAATAAAGGGGGCTTCCATAGCATTACTGGTATCTTCTTTTTGTGTCAGCTCCAGTTTGAAGCCAGCAGTGGGGAGATTTGCATTGCAGCAACCAAGCTGAAGCAATGCATGTTGAAACATTTACTGGGGAGGTGTAAGGAGAGAATGTACCCCTAAAATCTTCACACAGAGGGGAGATCCTTCCACCTTGAACGTACAAATCATGGCAATTTTCATTCCTCCTTTAGAGTGGCTGCTGTGTGTCTGATGAAATAGATTAATGATGAATTGTATGTCAGAAGCATTTACTCAGTGGTTGCTTTGCTAACACCGGTGTCGTTTCTTCCCTACAGGTATTTCTGTAACAAAGAAGACTCACACATGTAAGTAACACCTTTTGATTTGCCCTTCTCTCACAAATGGAATTTCTGTTAGGCCATGCTGTGGTGCTCAGACTAATTGGTGTTAGTCTGGCCTGAGAAAGCTCCATTTTAAAAATTCTGGTGTTTTTTCTGCCTTAGGGGTTTCAGTCCTCTCCCAAAGTGTTGTTGGATGTACAGTGTGTGTATATGTGGTACTCACGTGTCTGTAAAGTCAGAGGGCAGAAAAAGAAAGTTGTGAGCAAAGGCAGAATTCCTTACTGTACTACGTCTACCTTACAGCTGGCTGATAATTAACATATCCAGAAAATGCAGGTGAGGAGAATGGTTATTTTTATATGTCTGTTACATATGCAGTATGATTCAAATCAAAATAAATTAACTGTACATCTTCTGTCTCTCCCTGTGCACTAACCTGTGAGATAACTCATTCTCTGCCTGTGCTTAAGGAACTTGATGAACAACTGGAGGTTCTTGTTTTGCTCTCAACCATATAAGCAAGCAGCCCCCATAAGTGGTGACCTTGGAAATGGCTGTGGATGTGTGCATTTACTTACATATACATTTATTCCAAATCCTCTTCAAAGACATCATTTCTGGGGATCAACTCTTATCTATCCTGCAGGGAGCTCAAAGCACAGTTCTGAGGAAAAGCTGGGATTTGTAGCTGAAGGAGTATGTTGAGATTCTTCAGATACTGTCTGTGGAGGTTTGGCAATTTGGTAGTGCAGGAATTGTACTTGCCCAGGATATCAAACAGGAGTAGGCTAAAGCTGAGGCTATTACTCCCATGAAAGCCTTCTTACAAAACAGGTGCTAGACTGCTCAAAATTTACAAATATATGTGCATTTTATGTATTTTGAAGTATTTTCACCACAGCTTTCTAGGATGTCACAAAGTGTCTTACATGGCTTTCATTTGTATTTCATTCCTGGTTTTATAATACTCCTGGAGTGAAAAATCTGACTTGAGATGATGAAATCTCTCTGCGTAGAGTTAAAAAGCAGATTTGAGAATTTCAAATGAGAAGCTGATTCATGTGAGTTTTGAAACAAATTTTAAATGTCTCAAACTTCTAGAGCATGATGGTCCTGCTTTGCCTAGATGGGCTTGCTGCCTAAAGCACCCTGAGGGCCAGAGACTCCTTGGCTGAGCACTGGTTTTGTTGAACTCAGTGAGAGCTCCAGGCAGGCAGCTGGGGGCAGAATGTCACCCTGGTATTTTTGGGGAATGTTGGAGCTCCTGCTGACTGGCACTGGCAGCACAGGGCACTGGAGTGCTCCATGTGCCTGCAGGCCAGGCAGTGCCCAGCCTTGCCCACGGGGGCAGCCCTGGCGTGGGGCCGCCCCTCTCTGGAGGTGCTGGGTGTTTGTGCCAGCTCAGTGCTGGGCTCTCGTGTGTGCAGGTGAGTGTTGGTTTGGGAACCAGCCAAAACCCCCCTGGCTTTTGTACAGCAGTGCCTCGAGCTGACCCACAGAGCCACGGCCCCAGCTTTGGGAATTTCGCAGGGAAGATGAAGCAGTGAGCACAGAGCTGGAGAGCACGGGGAACAGCTCCTCAGCCACCCCAAACTGGTGCACTGTTGTCACCCTGGATCTCAGCTGAAGCAGTTTCAGGCCTGTGATGAAAAAAAGATGTGTTTCTCAACTGTGAGAGATGATTAGTAGTGCTCACCATCCAAGGCCTTTCATCTAGTTCAAACAGAAATTAGGGTGCCAGTGTCTTTCATGTTGAGAACTCTGTGCTTTTCTGAGAGGGCTGTCAAAGAGTAGTTCCCCGATTTGTTAATCAGTTGTCATGCAATTGCTGAAGCATGAACAGAAAAGTTGCCTGAATAATGGGAAGATAAGCTTGCCCATTAAGCAGGGATTAAAATAGAAGGAGCAATAGGCTGTAATTGGCATGATGAAAATGTAAGCTACGTTTGCTAGCAAATATGTATGAGGTTTCATTCTGTTTTGGGTGAAGTTCTTTTAGGATTCATTCCTGTTATGACAAATTCTCATAGAGTAGGAATGGATGTAAATTGTGCATCTTTGGCATTTCAGCACCATGCACAGTAAGCTTTTTTTCCCCCCCCCCTTGTTGCCTAGAATTAGGGTTTTTAATTGAATAGAAAAAACTAATAAAATTTACAGTTTTGGAATGAGTTAGAAAAAATAATATAAGCACCCAAATAGAAGCATTACAAAGTCTGAGTTGTTAACAACTACAAATGACAGAGAAAGAGTTTGTGCACCAAGATATGCTCTAGAATTTACCTATCACTTTGTATCAGAATAAATAAGTTATCCAAATGAAGTTACGTAGAGTTAAAATTGCTGCAAAGAAATTTCAAGAAACATTCTTGCAAACACTTTGTGTAGTGTTACACCTTGCCTGCTGTGATTTTTAGAAATATGGATGAAATTGCCTTATTCCAGTTTTACAATGTGTGGCATATGAGAGTGTTGACTGACAGTAAACTACCACTTGTTTCTAATGACCTGTGATTTAATTAGGGAGAAAGAAATGGAGTGGAGAAAATGAGTGGAAAAGAGGAAAGAAATTAGTAGAGAAAAAAAATGTTTTTAACATAATGCCAGAAAGTTTGATACATGATGCATTTCAAACATCCAATTAATCCTTTTCAGACTTCATTGAGTTGTGCAGGTTTTGAAATTGGTGGGGATCTGTCTCCAGTACTTAATTTTTCCTGGGTTTATTGTTTGAGGGTCTGGGTACATTTTATCCCTTTGGTGACATTAGTCTGTGACAAAGGTGTCCAGTCAGCTGAAACTGAACTCCTGTGCTGATGGCAGGTGCTCAGGTAGGTCTGAATCCAACAAGAGATTAATATTTGTACACATGCAATATAGAGTGCTAAAGAAATGCAGGTCTTTCATAATGTAACTATCTAAATAAAACCTGAGAGATTTTTATACTTTTTGATGCATTTCTCCAAGTATTCTACTTCATTGGTGCTTCTCCACATTTTCTCTTTATTACAGTTTAATTGTTTCAAAATCTGACGCTTTTAAACAGGGAATTCAATAGTCTTCCAAGGAGCACTAAGGGGATAAATGTTATCCACCCCAAAATGCCCTTCTCTGCTCAGTTCAAGTTTAAGATTAAACAGGCTTTTGAAGAAAAAAACACATGCCTTCTGTCTGTTTGTAGAATAATTCTCTTGAGCTCACATGGCTATTTGTCAGGTTAGCCATCACTTTAGATAAGCTGAAGTGTGTCAGATGGTAGAGGACAAGTGCTGTCTCATCTTCCATACAAAGTGGGGCTTCTGGTCTTTCAGTTCTTTTTGACTCGAGAAGGACATGACTGACATTTAGATTCTTTTCTGATCATTTGATTGGCAGCAATATTTGTGAAACAGCCCTCTTCCTGCCATGTCTCATGTTCTGAAAAGAAAAGTACTGCAAGTGAATTGTAACTTTGCACAACTTCACCCTTTTTGCAAATTCAGAAAGGCATCATTGTCTCAGTGATGATGAAAATTTGAAATTCTGGGAAACAGAAGGCTGCAAAGGACCTGGCTTTTAGCACTGACCCACTGGGCTTTAGGCTGTCCTGAAGTGTGGAGTATTTTGTTTCTGGCATTTTCAATCTAAGTCTTGCCACACTCCATGTAATTAGTTTCATGGCCTCTACCAGACCACTTGTGACTCAGCTGTCACACAAATCAATCACATTATTTTTCTTCAGGTCCCTGTTTTATCTTGGGCACTGACTTTGTTAAATGAGTTTGAACTTGCCTCTCAAAGTAAGGGGTTTCTGCAGATGCAGAACGTGAGTGTTGCACCAATTCAGGCTGTAATGGAACCTTCTTCCTCTCACTGTTTGGGTTGTGAGGAGCCACAGTTAGGAGCTTTGAAGGAGTTGGATTGCATAGCTGGAGTTCACATCTGCACTGATGGCCAGACACATTCAGTCATTTGCTTACCTTGCATTGGTAGGACAGTAAAAAATGCATCAATTTTACAGGCTTCCTGACAGATTTCTGTCCAGAGCTCCTTTGGAATGTTGTTTCACAGCAGGAAAGCACCAGAACCCCTGGCTCTGAGTGACACCCACTCATCAGAGCAGAGGTGGGGCCTGCAGGGCTGCTCTTACCTGGATGAACCTGGTGCTGCTTTGAACTGGGGGCTGCTCACTGGGTTCAGCTTTCTGGGGATAGTGCACCTGCAGTTCACTGCCACCAGTGTGGAGCATGGCTTTTCTGAGCTGAGGCCAGAAGTGACAACTGCTCCATTCATTTAGACTGAATTATCACCATTTGGAGAGAAAGAGCATGTTTCTTCTTGTGATTTATCCAGATATTTAAATTAGCGTAATTTTCATAAACAATTATGTCAGTAGGCATCTCTGTATGAATTCCTTAATGTTGGGTGAACTGTTCCTTACTTAAACTGAAATTATCCTCTCAGTTGATTTCTGGCAGATAAGAAATGTTTCCAAAGCTAGATGCTGCTTTTAATGACATGAGCTCCTGCTGGAAAATTAAGTGAAAACTGTGTGGTTTTGATTTTTAGCACTAAATAAAACCATTTGCATGAAAAACTGGCAACTTTGTAGGCAAAGGATAGTAGAAGTAAACTTGTCCCTTCTGCTATCTGAGATCCCAAGCCTTTCCTCACTGGGGCTGTTCCTACACTCATCTGGCTGTAGGTGTTGGTCTCAGGGTGTATCTTGGCTCAGTGTCCTTTGCCAACACACAGGAACTCTGGACTAAGGGGGAAATTCACATTTCAGGTGTACACTGGAGATGGGAAATCTTGACTGTACCATAGGGAGGGAGGTCAGCTTGACTGCCCGCTGTGTGTGACAGAGCTGTGTGTGACAGAGCTGGCAGTGGCAGAGCTCAGGGGTCTGCAGCACTGCCCAGTGTGTGTGACAGAGCTCAGTGTGTGCAGCACTGCCCAGTGTGTGTGACAGAGCTCAGTGTGTGCAGCACTGCCCAGTGTGTGTGACAGAGCTCAGTGTGTGCAGCACTGCCCAGTGTGTGACA